TATATATATATATATATATATATATATATATATATATATATATATATATATATATATATATATATATATATTACTGCAAATGTGCCATTGCATTAGTTAAATACTGAAATATGGAAATAAACGCGATATCGTTGCTAAGTACACTTTCTATGAATCATTGGAAAATAGTTTGTAAAGAATTAATTCCTGTTTAATTTTTTAGATGTATTGACACATAAGTGTACAGTCGAGGACAAAATGATTCTCCGTAATTTTTGGAGTGAGTTCGTGAACTCACCCGTCTTCTCCAATGGGAGAGCATTCTTCCATTAGAAAACGAACTCATTGAACAAGACGAAGACTTTACAAACTCAAGTATTACGGACAACCTTTTTGTGCGCGACTGTACGTTCAGATACCTTCAATTTTTCCTTCCCACACAGCTCGAGCATTGACTAAATATAATGAACATTACTGTGAGGAAATATTCACCGCAAGATGCCACAACAAAGGAGAAAGGAAAGCCCGTCGTATGATTGAGGAATGTCACACTTGCGTGTCACTTGAAAATTCAGTCAGTTTCTCCCGACTTAAATAGATTTATCCCTGAAAAAGTTCGAGATTCGAAATTTCCCCGAGTGGAATCGCAATCTTTGTGTTAAAAAAATTCTCGCAGGTTCTCTCTCTCTCTCCTTCTCTGCCTCTCTCTTCTCCCTTTTCTCTCTCTCTCTCTCTCTCTCTCTCTCTCTCTATTTATCTATCTATCTTACTCCATAAATTCGTTCGTACTCTTCGAGGTCACCCGAGACATGCGAGTCCGAGCGGTGATTCAACTACGCGACATGCTGGACGCTGTGTCCGTAACTGGACACGGTTTTCTCGGCGACCAGCTGCGGATACGCAGAATAATAGATCGGCGCGGCATACGCTAATTCGCGGGTGGCGGCCACGGGTATCGCGACGTGCTGTTCGACGGTGTGCAGCGGCTGCGCGTTGTGGATCACTTGATGGCCGTGGGCCTCGATCGTCTTCTCGGCGACCAGAGAAGCCTTCGGGAGCACCGGCTGCACAAGTTCAGCGTACGGCTGCTGCACCAGCGCCACGTTTGTGTACCTCAACGCAGGCGAGACCGCCACCAGCGGCGCGGATGCGTGCACCACGCTGTTGCCGTGAGACTCGACGACCTTTTCGGAAATGAGCTTGCCGATGGCGGGCGCGAGAATGGTCCCGCATCGCACCGACACGGCGCACGCCAACACGCATACGAACATCTGCAAGAAAAAAAAAAGAGTGATGCCACTGATCCATAGGCCATGTGCCCCATTTCTGGGCGGTGAAAAATGTATTTAAAATGGGCACCAAATTAACCCTTATTGTGCACTGTGGAGTCAAAGAACCCTAGAAAAAAATAAATAAAATAAATAAATAAAAAAATAAAAAAAAAAAAAAAAGTAAATCTAATAAAATCTAATAAAATCTAATAAAATAAAATAAAAAGTAAAATAAAATATAATAAAATAAATCTATATATTTTGGAAAAACTGTTTGCTTTTTTTTCACAAAAATCCTAATTTCGATATTTAAAATAAATACCTTTTTTGAAAATCCTGCTATTGTACTAATTTTTTTCTTAAAGAGATATGTGTTGAGAGTAGTTTTCTAAAATTTTATCTTGAAATATCAAAAATTATGTCAGTTATGATTTTTGGAGCAAATCAAATCATTTTTCATGTTTTTTGGACTTTCCAATTTTTTTTCTTCATTTAAAATCAAATTTCATCTAAAAAAATTATTCCGTGAAAAGGTGTTTGAAATATATCCTGGAATTTTTTAAAATAAAAAAAGTGAATAATTTTATTGCAGCAAACATTTTTGTAGCTGAGGTCGCGAAAGACTCCTTTATGTACCCATTATGTGATTCTATTAAAGTATACACAATGAGGGTTAAAGGCCTTGATGAGCTGATTACAAAAATATAAGTTTTAAAGCCGCCCAGTGTACTGTTCTAACACTACGATCCAAAAAGGTCCCAAATTTTAGGCTACTTTCAAACTGATGTTTCTTCAGCAAAACTTAACAGATTTTAAAAATTCAAAACGCTACATTTAATAAAATTAAATGAAGAATTTAATGGTATAAATTCTATGTTCTAAACTGATCAGAAGTAAAAAATTCCAATTGGAACATCAACTTTCGGTTGATTTTGGAACATGAAGTGCATAGGAAAATGCACCTTAAGCCTTTCAGGCACACATTTTTCTATCCATCAGTTTTTCATGAAAATTGGTATACAGGAGGTTTTTGTGTCGCGCATTACGAATTCCTCGATAAATTTTTATAATTCTTTGTCAAAATGGCGAATCTAATATGGCGGCTCACAATTTTGGGGGTTTTTCATCAGTTTTTTATAAATATTGGTACACGGCGATTTTTCGGGTCTCTGATTACGAATCCGTCATTAGATTTTTATAATTTACTTTCAAAATGACGGAACCAATATAGCGGCTCGAAGTTTTGAGGAATTTTAGGGTTTTCTGTTGATTTTTTACAAAAATTTGTATACAGGAGTTTTGTAGATCGCTGATAATATATACGTCATCAAATTTTTAACATTCACATTCAAAATGATGAATTTAACATAACGAATATGAATATCAAAAATCTGATGACGTATATATTATCAGCGACCTACAAAACTCCTGTATACCAATTTTTGTAAAAAATCGACAGAAAACCCCAACATTTCTCAAAACTTCGATCCGCCATATTAGATCCGCCATTTGAAAGTGAACTATAAAAATCTAATGACGGATTCGTAATCAGAGACCAGAAAAAACCCGTACCAATATTCATAAAAAATCGATAAAAAACCCAATTGAAACCCAAAATTGTCAGCCGCCATATTGGAAAAGCTATTTTGAAAAAGAATTATAAAAATCTACCAAGGGATTCGTAATTAGCGATCCAAAAAATCCCTACATACCAATTTTCATGAAAAATTGATGGATAGAAAAATGTGTGCCTGAAAAGGTTAACTTTGTTTATTTATACAGGGTGTCTCACACTCTCCTCCGGGCATTTTGTGGAGACGTAGAACAGGTTGAGGTGAACATAAAAGTCCTATACCGTTTTGCGATATTCACAATAATTATCGAGATATTAATTGTAGAAAATTTGTAAATGATCATGCAGAATATGATAAATGAGTTATAATAGCAACGACTGCCGTCGTGTACTTATACTTTAGGTCAAATTGAACAAAAAAGTCCTCTACCATTTTCCAAATAATCACATAGATTTTTAATTATTAATTAAAGAAGATTATTGCACGATTTTGCGTGATAATGCACTCATCTTCTTTAATTAATAATTAAAAATCTATGTGATTATTTGCAAAATGGTAGAGGACTTTTTTATACAATTTGACCTAAAGTATAAGTACACGAAGGCAGTCGTCGCTATTATAACTCATTTACCATATTCTGCATGATCATTTACAAATTTTCTACAATTAATATCTCGATAATTATTGCGAATATCGCAAAATAGGACTTTTATGTTTACATCAACCCATTCTATGTCCCCACAAAATGCCCGGAGGAGAGTGTGAGACACTCTGTATAAACAAATTGACAAACTATAAAAAAATCCCACCTTGTCCAATACTCCTGAACATATTACCAAAGTAAAATTACAAAAAAAGTAGAGAAGTCGAGCATTAAATATTGAAAAAATTAAAAAAATTTCTTAAAAATAGATGATACTCTGAGAGTACCACCATGCAGCAAAGGGTTAACCTACTAAAAAATATTAGAAATATTCAAATTGTTTTTGCTTAACTATTTTGAAAGCTAGATCAAACAAAATTCAATTTGTAGCATTTTGAATTTTTAAAATCCATATAATTTTGCTAAAGAAACATAAAAAAGTAGCCTAAAATTTGAAAACTTTTTGGACCGTAGTATTGGAACGATACCCTGGGCGGCTCTAAAATTTATATCTTTGTAATCAACTCATCAAGACCTTTAATTTGGTACCTATTTTAAATACATTTTTCACTGCCCAGAAATGGGACACATGTTGGCGTCACTCTTTGCCAAACGTGAAGCCCTTTATGCGCTCTCGAGAATGACGGAACATCAAACGCTGCATATAAATCGTTGTAGTGACTTAAAAATAAAACTCCAGAGAGCTGATACGAGTATTGACAATTTTAAAGGGCGTCGATGGGTTGAAAGAAGGAAAGAGAAAACGTGAATCTTACCAGCCTAAACATGACGACAGGTTTTCACCACTTTTCGATCAGAACCTGGGATCGATCTGCACGCAGCCGGATCTACGCGTGCTTATATAGGAAAGCACTTCCGTGATCTCGCGAGAAGACCTTCGAGTACAGGTCTCCACAATAAGAGCTCGACGTCCTGTCCGGCTCCACGAATGTGGCGATTAATATTCGGAATGGAGTCTACATTCTTGTCTTAAATTGCGTGTGTGTGCGTGCGAAACACGACTTTCTTAGGCAGTACAGAAAGTCACAATGATGTCGGAATGACGAGAAAATAATTGAATCATGATGGAAAAGTGAGTTTTTATTATCCCGTCACTTTAACGTTATCGTAATTTTTTGTTTTGACTAGATAATGGTCTCAATAGACTGAGTCCCAATTTCGGGCCAAACCTGGTTATTAATATATTTAAAAAATTACGATGAAAACACAATTACGATGAACACGAGTAAAGGAGGATGTTGAAACTAGTTTTTATCCACTGATAGAACCTTAACTAATCTTAATTAACTGAAAACTATTCCTGTGATTATGTAAAAAAGTGAATGGTACCATTTAAAAAATTCAAGGTCACTTTAATTTCTTTATGAAAAAAATGTTTTCTTACTTTTTGTTATTGCAAATTGTAACCTACACAGAATATTTACTTGAATATTTACTTCGCAATTTTTTTCTTAAACCGTCGGAAGTGTCTAAAAAATCATGCGGATCGTTACGTTGAATACTCTGTATACACACACACACACACACACAAAATATAATCTCCTCCTTAGTGGAATTCTTTTATACATGAGCTTAAGAGAATTCTTCTAAAAGTACAGAAAAAATATTATAACACTAAAAAAAAAAGGAATATTAGTTGCAATGTGTTATTTCCTATAATTCCATATTCTAAATTTTTACTATTAATCAGAGATCTACTAGATATTATTTTAATCTTTTTTTCTTTTAAATCAAGAGGAATATTTTACTTGGAGCAAAATGTCCTTTAACGCGCGATACAAAAGACAAACAAAATTACGTAGTTGTGTAGATAAAATATAAAAAACTCCTGTAACTTTAAGAATATTGTACTTAGAATATTTTCCTTTTGGTTTTAGAGGAGAATCCTTATAAGACTATATACAAAAGGATTCTATTAAGTATGAGATTATATTTTTTATGCACAATTGCAGTAATATATCATTTTAAGATGTTATAATTTTATCTTCTACATTATACTTCATTATGTATGTAATATAATAATGTTCAGTGTAGCCTAAATTTAGCTTTTTGTAATTCACTTAAGATATCTTATTTTGTTTACGGAAAAATTTTTCACTTTCCAAAATTGATGAATTTATATGATAAAATGTTGATTCTTTGCTTAGATTAATAAAGATCAATATGCAAAGCTTATGTAAGTTCAAATCTTGCGTAAAACTTTTGCGGAATCTTCATTTTTAGTGTATAATAGACTCATCAATTTAGAAAGGCGAAAGATTTCATAGGCCATTTAGCAATATGTCATAAACTAATAAGAAAAAAGCCATAAAAAATTGGCTTAATCTTTTATAGAAACAATACATCTTCTATAATAAGATCTATAAAAATATAAAACATAAACGTCAAAACCACTAACCTCTCGATAGAAGCTATCACATAAACAGAGAACAAGATAAACCAAGTATTAAACATTTGAAAAAATTGATGCACTTAAACAAAAATTATAAACAAAGGGGAACAGCGTATAATATGTCCAAAATGATAGTATAACAAAAACCGCACGTTTATCGTGTGAGTATATTTTAAAATTCCGACACTTTAAATTTATAACAATATATAATATCTCGAGAACTATACATGTGTCCTCCACAGAGTTTATGTTCTTCGTTTATTTTACCGTTATATTCTAATATTACACATTCACAAACACATTGTTAATAACAATATTTAAAAAACAATCTAGAATATCGCTTTAATTACTGGCTCTTTAGATTTATGAAACTGTTAGTATAGATTGTACTACGTATGTAATTATTCTGTATAGAATAAAACAATATGAATATGGACATTATTAATGTAAAATTGAATACCGCATGATCTGTTGTAGAGACCTAAAATAATTTACTGACTCATAATTGGGACTCACGCATAATTGTTTCCAATTAGTTCTGTTTTAATTCAGAATCAATCAATTTGAAGTCTAATAATTTTACTTTAGAACTACGATGATTATTATTCACATTGGAATTAACAGTTCTTTTCAATGTTTGATAGAAATTTATGTAAATGATTGACAGTTGCTTGAATCTTAAATGATCCATAATTAAAACTGTTTATCTGTGAGCGTAATTTTTTGCATAAGATATAAAAAACTCTCGAAAAAAGAGAAAGTAAACATAATATAAAATTTAATACACACCAAAACAAGCTCAAATGTAAAAAAAATCAAATGCTAACAAACATCAAGGTGCAAATGTCAAAAATAATTCTGGTATAAAAATGTAAGTATTAAGGATTACGCAGCAAGATCGAAGTTGTGAAATGGGTCAGCAGTGTATTACGAAAATCGAAGCGGATGAAGGATGTGCGGATTGTGTTTTTGCTACTTGTTGGTCCCGAAAACGTTAAGCTTTTTATCGTCGTCGTGAAGTTTGCGAGATACACTCGACGGCCGAACAAAGAGGCTATACCTCCGCGATCTTGAGACTTTACTTTTACTCCTTACCTCCAAATAACAATAAGCACTTACGCCATAGAAATGAGAAGAAGCGGTACTCCTCAGCAGGAAACATAAAAAGTGCTCGAGCGTAAAATTACACCCGAAAACGTGCTTAATCTTTAGGATCGCGTTATCCATTTCTACTAACTGTAACATTAAAAATGGCGAATCGCACGAAAGTCGACTAGTGGCCGACGTGAGAGAGAAGTATTATATCTCGGAAGCGCAATTGCGATAAAATTACATATAAAAAATATGTAAAGTTACATACAATAAAAATATAAAAATTAATTGAAATATATTTAATCAAAATTTTATAAGATCTTTATTTAAATAAAATAATCCTTATTTAAATTTAATCACAATTATTAAAAATCCTCAATTTGATAACATTTTATTTCTGTTAAAAAGAAATTTGTAAAAAGCTCTAATAAGAATTTAATCGAATAAAATTGAATTTAATAAAAATTTCAACAAAAAAGTTTTAGGGAACATAAAAAAGATAATTAAGAATTTTATTTATAAAAAATTGTGTGTGTAATTTCAAAAATTAACTTTCTCCAGACTTAAATATGAGATTAATGTAATTTGATAAAAACCAATGATCTTAAAAAGATAATTGAGCTAAAATTACATTTGATATTTAACGATTAATAGAAATCATCAGAGGATAATAATTTCTTTATTTTTAAGGACGAGGAATACAATTTATTGCCTTTGAGAGATAATTTCCAGATTATTTTTGAGAGATAATTTTCAGATTGTATGCATTTTTTCTGAATAAAGACTGTTATCATTTACAAAGATTTAATTTACAAAAGCGAAAGATGAAATTTCGAGTGTCTACATATATATTTCCGCTCACGCGATTATTCCCTAACTTGAAACACACGCGATTTGATGTACCAAAGTTGACACATCCGTTACACCTACATCATGTAGCGATATACACAGCCACACTCGCTGGTTTCCGGTGCGCACATAGATAATATATTGAATAATTCGCCAAACTCTTCTCTCCTCCCTTATACGCGCGCGACAGCGCGGGAACTTTTTTAAAGCTCTGTAAAGAATTTACCAAGTTAGGTTCGTGAAAAGTACATGGGCGGGTTTGTATGTTTCCTGCAAATATATTCAATACGTGACCCGACAGCGCGACGAAGTTTCGCCCGAGTGTCGAGAAAGGGCTAAAGCCGAAACTCAAACAACCGTTGATCGCCAAGTCGGTAAACACTTTTCATCGAGTCGTTCCAAATCCTATTTTGAGAAAAGCCTCACGTAAACGGATAGGTAGATAGGTAGGTAGGTAAGTCTCGTAGGTGGACGTATACCACACAGGCGTGGCGCGGGTGTGTCCAAATAAAAAACTATAAGAACAAGATCACCCCGTGATCACGACGCTCTGTGTTTGCTCCGATCGCTCGTGCGAAAGAAAAAAGTTCGAATTCCCCGGCACCGGGCGAGCGCGAGGAAAAATCTGCGATCCTCTATAAGCTCAGGTGGTACGTGATGCCGAGGGAATTAACCTTCTCGGTGTACAGCGACCTGGGAATTCGGTAAAGTACTCGTGACTGCAACGATACGCCGATAGAAACCCGTGAAGAGGTTCTACACCACTCTACGGTGCTTCACGACAACGCACCGTATTATGTTACCTGCTGTCTTACAAACTAACTCTTACGAGCAAAAAGAGAAGCAGAGACTTGAAACAAAGATTAGACACAGACTTACAATAGCTGGCAAAAAAAAGAGACAACTCTTGTTTTACCCCTGTTTGGATCCCAAATATTTCAAGGAAATGAAGAAATTTCTGGTTGAAAGGATTATTCTTTATTGACTCAACTTAGTATAGTTTTTGTATTTTCTTTACACTGTAAAAACTGATGTGTTAAATTTAACATTTCATGTGTCCCAAATCATCCATTCTCATTTATGTATAAATTTAACACAAAACAAATGTGATAAAAAGTAACATGCATAATATATAAAAAATTTACACCAGAATTTAACACTCGAATACCGTCAGGAATCACAGTTTATGTTAAATTGACATATGTATAATGTTAAATTAATTAAAATAAAACGTTACTTTAACATTTGAGAGAAGTATTAATCTATGGTTTTGATGAAATGAAAATGTTAAATTGACATAATCTATGTTTGACATATTAATATGTTAATTTAACACAACCTGTGATTCCTAACGGTATTCAAATATTAAATTCTTGTGTTAATTTTTTCCATATTATGCGTCTTACTTTTTAACATATTTGTTTTGTGTTAAATTTACACATAAATGAGAGTGGATAATTTGGGACACATAAAACGTGTTAAATTTAACACATCAGTTTTTACAGTGTTATTCATTTTGTCCTTGTTTTACTACGTTTATATTCTTTAAGAGTGAGGTAAAATAAAAGGACTATATCGTCTCAGCTACATCGTTCGTTTTTCGAATTTTATCTTCTTTAAAAGTAAAACTGAATTGTGTTTTGTTTTGTTTATGGTATTACACGCTACAGTGTGTATCTGTTATAGTCAGCGATTGCTTCTAAATGAAGAAAAATCGTTTGCGAAAATGGTTAGAGGACAAACTTTTACACACAGAAATCTGATTCTGAAAGATAGAAAGCATTTTCACAAAGAGAAGAGCTGCAAAGTACAGAGTAAGTAAAACTCAAGTACAAAAGCTGTGGAAAAAGTTCATGGAAACTGGTTCAGTTGCGAATAGAGGAGATACAGGAAGAAGTCGGATAACTAATATGGACAATTCTCGTATTTTATGAGAAGTTAAAAAAACTCATATGTTACCGTACGAACGATTCAAGAAAACTTCCGACAAGTAACGCACAAGACCATTCAAAGAAGCAAACTAACACACAAAGAAGACCTTTATTAAATGAAGCGCTTCGAATTCGCGAAAAAATATGTGCAAATGCCAATTGATTATTGGAAAAAGTTTCTGTGACTAGAGGAAAGTAAATTTGAATGATTTAATCAGAAGACAAAGCTCAGAGTGTGGAGAAGAGACGGGAGAAATATCAAGATCATCATGTGCAGCAGACTGTGAAGCACGGAAAAGGCAGCATTATAGTCTGGGATTGCTTTGCTTGGTCACGAGTGGGGAGAATCTAGTTAAAATTAATGACACAATAACAACAGATATATATTTTTCTATTCTTTCGAAAAATCTTGAAGTATTATTGTTTCAAGTCGGCCTGAAAAAAGATTTTGTCTTTCAGCAAGACAACGATTTAAAACAGTAAAATACAGTAAATACAGTAAAAAAAAATCTCAGAAGTCCTTTTGTTCGAATAAGATTAATTTTCTTGATTGGCTTTCACAGTTATCTGATCTTAATCTCATAGAAAATTTATGGTCTATTTTAGATGCAAAAATCAATAAGACTGGAGTAATTGACAAAGTGGATTATTTTGTGGCGCTTTAAAATACCTTGGAGAAAATTGCAATATTTTCAAAATTTCGTGGAGAGCATGCGAAGACGACTCCAAGCAAGCTCTAAGACTCTAAAACAAGGGAAAGCTACACAAAATATTAAATATGATTATTTTTGCTTCGTTTAATTTACTTTTAGTACTCTGTTTTTTAAAAAGTAAATATGGTCTCCTTTCCTTGTCCCAATCTTAAAGGATACATATGTGGCAAAATAAGAACAAAATAAATCATTTGAAAAAAGTATTTGTATATTAAACCCTTTTTGTATGTTAAACTTAACAATCTATAAAAAATAATCTTAATAAAAAGAAACCCAGAAACTTTCATATGTTCTTATATTACTTGGGACTAAAATATACAAAACGAAAATGATCTCTTTTTTTATCAGTCACTGTATATAAATAGACTGCACCTAATTATGGCAAATTTAAAAATAATTCACACAACATGCAGGTCTAAAAGATGTTTTTTAAAGACGTTTGAAATAAGAAGTCTTTAAAACGTCTTTTAAATATGTATTGTCTTCAAATTCTTTATAACTTGTGTGACTGTTACTTGTGTGACATTGTGTAATTGTTTACATTATTGACTACAACATTTATACACGCGTTGCTACAATAAATATCATAACAACCTTTTGGTATTTGTGAATATCATGTACGGGAAATATGTTAGTGTGAGAAAAAATCTTACAGAACTTAACTTTGTTAGATTCTAGTTGAATATCATTGTGCCGAATAATAACCTCTTTTCTTCCATATACGTAGCATTCTTTAGAATTATGATTAGACTATGGAGAGATTTGCTCATCCGTCTGCTTCATAGCAAGATCGATAGTTAGCGGATAATGGTAATATCCGGCATAAATTTTAAAGCACATGAGATGTCGGGTACTATTACTATTCTCTAGTTATCATCGGCCCTAAATCCTAATTCTGAGTAGATGAAGCAGGCGGATGAGCAAATTCGCAAATTAATTATAATTTTCGACTGACTGTCACAAATGAACGATATTAAATAAAATATCCTTTCCTTTTTAATGTCCACAATATATAATTTTAGAAATTTGTAATTGAATATACACTTTAATCTTAAAGTAGTCTTAAATAAGATGTCTTAAACACATCTAAAAACAATGTCTCAGACATCTTAAATTAGACATAAAACATCTTAAAAAAGTTATGATATCTTTCTGATAACTTTTAAAGACATCTTAAGAATTTTAAGACGTCTTTTAAACGGTCTTTAAGACGTCATAATATTATCTGGAAATATTTGAAGGATAACTATACTCCTCTTTTACTGTCTTTTTCGCTGTCTTCCTATTCACTGTCTACAGGTATTTTTTCTTTGTTTAGGTTGGATTCTATTGGATGAAGCTAGACGAAATGCCTAATAGAAGTCAAGCTAGACGAAGATCGAATGTCTGCACTACAGGACATCCTTCTCTGGTCGAGTTTTCGCAACCTCTTGCACAGTTTATGTATATAAATCTATGTGTACGGACTGTTTCAATGGCTACAAAGCATCTACAGATAAACTTAAACCGATTTTAAACATAAATTCGGACTATGGATGATATTCATAATCACATCTTATATTTAAGATCGTTTTACGTTTGTTTTCAGATGCTGTATAGTTATAAACTTATATATTATGAGTATATAGACGGTGCTTATTTATGAGAGGTTTGAAAATAAGATTTGAAGTATTGCTATATTCTCCTTCCACTGTCCATAGGTATTCCACCTTTCTTTGACATTAATTTCTGTTGGAATAAATTAGGTGAGATGCCCAATAGGAGTCCAATAGGATAAAAATCGAATGCCTGCATAAATAAAACATCCTTTTCTGGTCAAGTTTTTGCGATCTCTTATGGAACGCTCAGTCTATGTACATAAGTTTATGTGTACGAATCGTCCATTGGTCATGGAGCAACTGTAGATGACGATAGAGCAACTGTTTAAGACGATCTTAAACATATCTTCGGACAATGAGTGGTACTCATAGTTAGATCTTGTATCTAAAATCATCTTACTAGGTGTACAACTTTGCTTCCGCCGTTTTCCTATAGATGGCTTTAGCAGTAAGTGGTGGTCGAAATAAATAGACGTCATAGACGTCATACAATAAACTTGGGCATCTGTCAACATAACCCCATAGAAACATTAGTCGATTTGTGTCTGCATCATAAAGTTATTCTCGATAGAAAATGTCAGTTTACGAGCTAAATTCTCGTCATTTGCGGGAGGTTTTAATTTTCTGCTTCAATATGAAGAAATCTGTGGCTGAGACTCATCGAATGCTCTCAAATACTTATGGTGAGGCCGCTATTAGTGAAAGAACGTGTCGTGAGTGGTTTCAACGCTTCAAGAACGATGATTTTGACGTCGAAGACCGGCATAGCGGTGGAAGAGAGAAGGTTTTCGAAGATGCAGAATTAGAGGCATTACTTGATCAAGACTCGTGTCAAAATCAAGAAGAATTGGCACGATCATTGGGAGTGACTCAACAAGCCATTTCAAAACGCCTCAAAGCTATGGGAATGATTCAGAGACAAGGAAATTGGGTGCCGTACGAATTGAAGCCGAGAATATGTTGAACGGCGTTTGTTTGCTTGTGAACAGCTGCTTGAAAGGCAAAGACGGAAGGGATTTCTGCATCGCATTGTGACTGGGGACGAAAAATGGGTTCATTACGATAACCCCAAGCGCAGAAAATCATGGGGAGTTCCCGGCCATGCTTCCACGTCGACGGCCAAACCGAATATTCATGGCTCCAAAGTCATGCTCTGTATTTGGTGGGACCAACTCGGCGTAGTGTATTATGAGCTGTTAAAACCGACTGAAACAATCACAGGCGATCGGTATCGAACGCAATTGATGCGTTTGAGCCGAGTATTGAAAGACAAACGGTCGCAATACAACGAGAGGCACGATAAAATGATTTTGCAGCATGACAATACTCGACCCCATGTTGCGAAAGTGGTCAAGACATACTTGGAAACGTTGAAATGGGAAGTCCTACCCCACCCGCCGTATTCTCCAGACGTTGCTCCCTCTGACTATCACTTGTTTCGATCAATGGCACACGGCCTGGCTGACCAGCACTTCCGGTCTTATGAAGAAGTTAGAAATTGGATCGATTCGTGGATCGCCTCAAAAGATGACCAGTTTTTTCGACGCGGAATTCGTACGCTGCCCGAAAGATGGGAGAAAGTAGTGGCCAGCGATGGACAATACTTTGAATCATAAATGTATAACCAGTTTTTTTACAATAAAGCCTCGAATTTCGGAAAAAAACGGCGGAAGCAAAGTTGTACACCTAATAAGTTTATCTTCTGCTGCTGTACGAATCGATCATCAGCTACGTCATCAGATACAGCGCATCTGAAAGTAAACTTAAGTACAAAGTGATATTAAATACAAGTTCGGAGTGACTATGGGTGGTATTCATAGTTCTATCTTAAATATAAGTTTGAACTATGAATAGCGGCCACGTGTAAATTCACAAGTTCAGGATAGCTTTTGCGCTTGTTGTAAGGAGCATCGAGAAATGAACGAACACAGGGCGATTTGACGTAAAGGCAGAAATGGCGGTTTTATTGATGAATCGTAGCGATCGGTCGTTCGACCGTCTGGGTAGTCTGGGCTGGTACAAGGCTAGTGTGTCCGACGGTTCGCTGGCAGATGGATGAATCGTTCGACAGACCGGTCGTTTCGATGAGCCATCGTCACGCGTCCGCGTGCCGGCGACGAGGACGCCGTCGTCACGCCGTCGCCGTCGTCGTCGACACGTCGGCCATCGTGAGAGACGGCTGAAGAATTCCTACGGGTTCCTTTCAGTGCAGAGCGACGACGGGAGCGTGGGCGGCGTAGGCGACCGGGGCGTGAGCGACGACAGCGGGTGCGTGAGCGACGACCGGTGCAGCGACTACCGGCGCGGCCTTAACGACCGGCGTGGCGTAGGCGAGCGGGGCGGCGGCGACCAGCGGGCTCTTCACGGAGACCTTGTAGGTGTTGGCGTAGCTGGTGGCGACCGGCACAGTGTGGGCAACCGCGACTGGCGCGGCCACGACCGGCGCGTGGAGGGCGGCAGGAGCCGCGAGGTAGCCTGGTGCAGCCGCGGCGCAGGCCAACAGGGCGAAGAGAGCGACGAGCTTGTACATGGTTGCGAGGGGTAGAGTGAGAGAGCGAGTCGGTAACTTACTTCGTGCCTCGGAGCAGCTGAGGAGCGAATGATGCCCGAACAAACCGTCTAGCCCTTATATTCGCCGGGGCTGACCTCTCCCACCGCTCGGTACCCGGTCTCTCCCGGACCGGCGGTTCCTGTTGCCTTCCTCGTGTCCGTCGCCCGGCTCGTCGTTCTGTTGCTCCTTTTTTTTTTTTCTTTGCGCGCCGGCCACGTCGCAGGAGCACTGCCAAGGACTGCCGACGCGTTCTCGCGGCCTCTACGGCCGGCTGCGCCGGACCCTTCACCGCGCAGTGCGGAGAGTGTGCGTATCGCCTTCGTGATCCGCAGCCTCGACGTTTCGAGAGAGGATTGCCGACGATCGTTTTGTTTCTGCTGGAAGGTCGCGCGAGATGCTCGAAAGGGCTCGTTGCGCGACCTTACTTACTGCCGGCCGGGCTTTCCTTTGTGATTTGCGCGGATCTGACGCCTTCAACGGCGGGGGTTCAATGACACAGCCTCGGCGATCGATCATCTAAGTCACCGCGGCATAGGCACGTCGCCGGCAATCGTACATAATTACCTAGCTATTTATTAGCGGATATCTGCTCCCGGGTTCGGCCGGTGGGCCGAGAATAGACGGGCTCGCCGGAATCGCTTCGGGTGACAGCAGCAACGGGCCCGGAGCGACTTGTCACTTTTGTGAATTGCTCTTGACACGCGCCGGATGTGGCTCCGATGGCCGGCTTAATTGATAGCGTCGCTTAGGAAACAAATAGGTCCGCTTATTGAATTTTATTTCGTCCTCTTTGTCGTTCCCGTTGTCGTCGTCGTCATCGTCGTTGTTATTACTGCTACTATTGTTGTTGTTGTGGTCGTGGTTGTTGTGGTCATGGGCGCCCTCGTTGACGGTGAGGATCTCTATTGTAGTTGGGATACACGTCGTCGCTTGATATTTGGATAATTGAAATGCACGTTAGCCGTTAGAGCGGGTCTCTCCGTTAAAATGGTTAACCCGTTCGCCAAAGGACGCCTTGTTTGCTCTGACTTTGGTCGTTTAGGAGGCAACGCTTCTCTTCCTCTTTGTACTTTAGCCCATTTTAATGCTTATGAATTGCAACGATTTACGAGCTGGGTCGCCTTGCTCGCGGGTTTCTCTCGGGCGGTCCGGTGGTTTTATTTCACGGAACACGCGTACCTCGCTCTTAACAAGCGTATAACGTATCCTTTTTCTCATGCAAGGGAGACAAAACGCTACACTCTTTGGAATTTCGAAGTTGCAACTTCTCAGACAATTAATTGTTGTGATTGATATACAATACGTGACAGGGGCAACTTTTTCTTCTTTTTGATGCCAATATAACGATCCTGTACACGGAAAGAATTTTATAATAAAAATTACTGTAGAATTTTGTAGCCGAGGAATATATCCCAAGAATGTAACCAAGGACATTGTGCTGTAATTTGTGCTATTCTTTCTTTTCATATGAGCTATTTATATCTTAGGAACTGTAGTATCCTATTAAAATATTTTCTACGTTTTTAAATTTCTTTTAGGCAAGATAAGCTCTACTGACAGTCTATTTCTGCGCCACTAATAACATAATAAAATTGAAGAGAATTTTTATGAAAAAAATAATTCTAATATCCTGTTCGCGTATATAGGTTGTTCTGTAATAACTGAAATAGGAGCATGCTGACATGCGGCTATCTTATCCTGGTGCTGGATCAAGTTGAGTAGCAATCTGAGGTAAGATCATATGTAAAATATATAAGATATATAATAAGAGCATATATGTGTGTGAAATATATACGGCCTTGTACATTGAAAATTATTTTGTCACTTAGAACGATTTTGTAATAAGTAAAGTGTGTTTTGCTATTTTGCTTCTGAAGAAAAAGACTTGACCAGGAAAGAATGTTTTATTATTGCAGGCATTCGATTTTTATCTAGTTTGACTTCTATTGGGCATTTCATTTAATTTCTTCGAACAGGAATCAAGTCAGAAGGATGGAATGCCTATGGACAGTGGAAAGAGAATACTCGTATAGTTCTTTAAAAAGTATAAAGACATATTTCCTATAGCTAGAATATAGTAATTTTTATTTTTATTTACATAGCGTATTTTACCAACTTTACTTCATCCGTCTATATACTCGATTTCAATCGTTTTATGAACGAAAATTACTTTTATCATCCGAAATATATCATACACTTGCAAGAAATTTCATCCTAATTAATAATACTCTACTTAAGTTTATTCACTCATGATGGAGAATATCGGCACGGAATGTCGATACACTCGAAAACGTATTCGGCAGTTTCTAACCAGTTTCTTCTACCTTTTAATTGCAAAATTATTCAAATTTCAAATAAAACTAAAAAAATCAACCCATATCTTAAAAGAAACATGTTACGATTTCGTTCCCATTGTTCCTCTCACGAAAAACACAAAAATAAAGTATATAGTCGATTTATCCCTTGAGACAATTAGAGCTGGTCTTACCTACTCGTATGATCGAAAATGATTAGTTCAAAAATTTCTTAGATGTTCCCGTTGATCTCCACAATCGCTCAAAAAAATTCGCAAGAAAAATTTGATGTTTTTTTCTCTTTGTTTTTTCTCTACAAAAATACAACTTTTGGAAACTTTTTAATTCGCACATACCAACTGGGAGAGAGGAGAAAAGAGGAAGGTAGAATAGTCTTAACAGACAGTGTAATTGTTTTCGAGATATTCTAATATTTTCTATTCTCTAATATTTAATGTTAAGGTTTTTTAATCTCAACATTAAGAGGCACGTATTCTTCTGCCCAATCGAGGTTTTGGGAGGTGAAACAACTCTTAAAAGTTACTTAGCAGATATAGTTTTAAGTGAGCATTGTTTGAAACCATAAAATATATAAAAAGTGTTTTAAATGTTTTATAGTAATTAATGTACTTTATAACTTTATATTCAGATCTTGATTTAATCTTTTTTTACAGGATATACCTCCATCCCATTATTTGCACAAATTTTAAAGTTTTTGTTAGGGCAATAATTAAAAGTCATTTGATATGCTAACATTGAATTTATACATATATAATAATGTTAGTTTCCGAAATTACATGTTTGGAGAATAAGCTGTAGATACCGCGCTATGTGCGCCAAGTACGCAGCAAGTTTATTCCGCTTATGCGCGGTACTCCGCAGTAGCTACTCTCTGAATTTCTTTGAACAAAATTCCACTTGAAAAGCGGGGATAACAGCCGAGTTATTCGCGTGACTTTTCATTCCTATAAAGTAAAGAATAATGCTATCAAAATTTTTTCGTAAGACAAATTTATGAAATCGAACTATCTTTATATTTTTGGGTATGCTGAAATCGGGTGTGAAACTTAAAATTGTCCAAATCCCGGGGAACTTTCTGAAAATGCAGTTTTTCTAAAAAGCCTCGTTTTTCAGGAAATACTTTTTAATGAATGATTGACAATTGTAATGATTTTTTCATTGTAAAAAAGAGTGAGGACTTTTATGAGTGGAAAATCACTCAAATTCGACCACTTTGTTTTTCGAGTAAAATTTCACTCCACGAAATTTAGAGATTATTGAAATATTCATATGTATCAAGAATTCTCTTTAAGTTTGAATTAAATATTCATTTTCGTCACTCTGAGCGACAATATCCTCATCAAAAATGAATTTTCAATCGTTTTGAGAACAACAATAGTCCGAGAAATTGAAAGGATATGCATTACTGATTTATTATTCATTGATTATTCATATAAGCGGGAACAATATGTGAAATCAATAATTTATCATTGCGATAGCTTTATGTTCAGAAATAAAGGCGTATACTAACCTAATTGCACTGCGTGTTAAGACTATTTACTACAATTACTATCAATTAACCGAATTTTCCTCCTCGTTCTAAAAGAATTTTCCCCAAATTCCTACGTTAGTACGTTCCTCCTGTATTGCAAAATGAAGTTGTGTTGTAATAACACATATTTACTTTTTTTAAATCGTGGTTTACCATTGCAAACTATGTTTCCCACACGTGAGATTTATTGTATCCAATTTTCAAAACAATTGTATATTAATTCAAAAATTAATATACAATATTATAAATTATTAATTCAAAAATATATATTTATATTTATATATATTTATATATTATATTATAAATTATTAATTCAAAAATTTTTAATATCAAAATGTACTGATTTTTCTCGTAAATATATATGATATAAACAGTAAACTATGTACAGAAAAGAGATATGTCTGATTAATATATAAACAACATTGGTCTGCTTTTATAGATGTAATATCTGTTGCACATCGTGGTAAACCACGACTAAAGTGAAAACAAAACTGCATGCACCTACTGAAAAGTTAATGTTAAAAGGACGATATTTAATGTTCCTTTAAAAAACGATATATAAGGTTAGAACACGCATGCCTGTTGAAAGTAAATACGTGTTACTACACACACTTCATTTTGCAGTACAGAAGAAACATACTAACGCCTACCGGAGGATTAAGAGACGATGTTAGAAGTTAGAATATTTTTTCTAAGATTAACTTTCCCCAAACTTCGATGAATCTTAACCAGCGGTTACTTGACCAACTAAAATTTCTGAAATTTCCTTCTCTTTTTTCTCTTCTCCAATAATAAATTCTCCAATATCCAATATCAATTAGTAACTCTGCCAGTTTTAACCTAGGTTAAGATTAAGAGTCTTGGAGTTTGGAGAAAGTTAATCTAACACACATACGCGCATTAATTTAAACTGCCAGTACAATAGGGCTTATCCTGAACTCTCTTTTATCGATTAAAAATGTCTCTAAAAGTGACTTACAAACCTCCTAATTGGCTGATACGCCACTTTTAGAGACGCTTTTATCGGTAAAAAGGACTTGAGAATAAGAGCGAGAGAGTGTGTGAAAGTGCAGACGTGTTAACGTGTTATTATAACACGTCATTTTACAGCGCGATAAATTATTAACACAGTCGGATAACGCGGATCAGAAGCGGCTGTTACGCCTACGTGTACATTGCGCCGACCGAAGCCGATGGAACAAGCGGCTTCACGAGAGAAGTAAGGAGCGAAGGGAGAGGGAGGGGGGCATTGTGACACGAGTCGCGAAAGTACATGCTCGACTTACTCAATTTCGCGCGACGTACTTCGCATACGGCGAACAACACAACAGGTACAACGTGCATGCGGCGTGTACGAGGCGCGCGTGTCCTTTTCTCTTTCTCTCTCTCTCTCTCTCTCTCTCTCTCTCTCTCTCTCTCTCTCTCTCTCTATGCCCCATGTGTTACGCAGGTCGTCACAAGTCTTGCGTAACCACGCATCGACAATGACAATGCGTGACAACTCGCGCTGACGAAAATCGCAGCCGATGCCAACAAGAGCCATGCGCTACTGCGACAGTCGGCTTAGAAGCCAGTCTATCGACCGTCTCTATCTCTTTCTCTCCCTCTCTCCCTCTCTCTCTCTCTCTCTCTCTCTACGCAATACGTGTGCGCACCGCATAAGATATCAGGCGTCTTTACGCAAGCAGCATCCTCGCACGGCAAAGCCCGCCTAGCAAAGCTAGCGCACTGTCAGCATCGGTTATCGAATTACAACGAATGTCGTTCCGATTGATTAAAGTTGCACGATCGCGCACCCATAATGCGTTCGATCGAAATTCATAATGCATCGGTCAATCTACGTAGAGAGAATGGGGAAGGTATTGTACAGAGAGAGAGAGAGAGAGAGAGAGAGAGAGAGAGAGAGAGAGAGATTTATATATTTATTTAATTTATTATTAAATCGATGAATTTATAATTCCGCGGTCGAAATCAAGCTTCGAAAATTTTCATAACCGGATACCGCGTAATTATATATAGGCCGCGGTTATAATTAATTTCGCACGGTGTAGGAATTATCCCGGCAAAGAGAACGCCGTGGGTGAGTGCATGCCGCGTTCGACCACGATACTGTTTTAAAAAGCCAACGATTAATAACCGAAAATTATACATTTGATACGGTAATAGCGGATCTATCAATCATCATACGTGCGGTAACACAATCGACTCGCGGCCGAAAGCCGCGCTCTCCCCGCTCTATCCACCGAAAGCGGTCCGCACCGAGTCTCTCCTCCCTCCCTCCTCCTCTTTCTCTCTCTCTCTCTCTCTCTTTCTCTGCGGATCGGCGAAATTCACGGCGGATCCGGAAGACCTTGGCCCACGGGCGTGTGTAGCGCCGGGTTGCCGGCGGCTTCGCGCCGCATCTGGATCGCGAAGTAGGCGAGCGACGAGCAGGATAGAGAACCAGTTTCACGCAAAAAGAGGGGTTCTGGCCTTATAAAAAAGTGCCGGGCCACGGGTTTCGGTATCAGTCGTCAGAGACCGCGAACCGCCACTCGCACGAAACACGCGCCTTCTCGCACACACGCCGTCATGTTCAAGTTCGCCGTTCTTCTCGCCCTGCTCGCCTGCGCCGCGGCGGCGCCCGCCCCCGGCCTGCTGTCCGCGCCCGCGGTCGCAGCTGCACCGGTGGTCGCGGCCGCGCCCGCCCTGGCCTACGCGGCGCATCCCGCGCCGATCGCCTACGCCGCACACGCGACGCCGGCCGTCGCCTACGCCGCACACGCAGCGCCGGCCGTCGCCTACGCCGCACACGCAGCGCCGCTCGCCTACGCCGCGCACACCGCGCCGCTCGCCTATGCCGCGCACACCGCGCACGTAGCCTACGCCGCACCTGCCGTCAGCTACATCCACTGAGGGATCGACAGGGAGGCCGATTTTCTGCTCGAGAGGGAGCGGACGTCGCCGACGGACGGGGGATCCCGAGGGATCATCCCGGATATTTTTTTGAACGAGAAATTGTCACTTTCGGACATTTATGCTGAGAGAGAGAGAGAGACGGAGGGAGAGAGATAATAATAAATCCGTTACTTGGTGATCGCATACAATCGCTTCTGTTTATTCAACCATGTCTCTGCCTGTTACGCCATTAATTCATCGCCGCGCCAGCGCTCGTTGACGCGCTCGTAACGAGATACATGAGCGAGAAATAATCCTCTTACCTGTACTTGGGCTTCAAAGGGAATTTTAATGCCGACCTACGCTGAAATGCACGAATTACGTGCAAAGCCGAACGCGCTCATACATAAGTGAGGTGGTCTCCCCCGGCCCGGGCTTTACTTTTCGTTATTTCACCGGCCCGTGACGGTTCGATGGCGCGATTCTGTGACGCTCAATCGAAATGTCTCGTGACAAAAGCTGCGATGTATTTTAGGCATTTCATTTTCTTGAATGGTCTCTACTTCCATTGCGTTTTTAGGCATGACAGATTGATGTCGTACTCTCTAGATTTCTTGGCGTGAAATCTCACTCGATAAGTGGAATGGCAGCCGAGTCACTCAAGTTGTGGAATGACTTCTCAATCTCATAGAGTGAATTCTTTCATTCTGTATCGTGGAGTGAATTCTTTCACTCCGTATTGTGGAGTGAATTCGATACTTTATATCGTGACTCTGATAATATATGTTACAAGTAAGGAAATGCGATGAAAGCTTTACTGTAATCTTACTGAAATATATAAAAACCTTACTATAACCGTTGTATCTTCGTTATGTCATTTTTCTCACACTATCCGACGCCGATTTGCTTCTCCTTGAAATATGATTAAGAAGCATATATTTTTTAATATATTTTTTATCTTTTAAGTATTTTATTTTTATAAGTAAGTATTATCTGAAACCATAAAATATATAAAAAAATGTTTTAAATAAAAGTTTTATGACAATTAATCCACTTTATAACTTTATTGCTTTATTGTAGATTTCGCAATAATTTCATTCCTTACAGGATACCCTCACCTCATTATTTACACAAATTATAAAATTTTTATTAAAACAATAATTAAAGATCACTTGATGCTGTATTTATCCATATGTGACAATGTTAGTTTTCGAAATTGTATGTTTGAAAAATAAGCTGTAAATACCGCTGTAGATATCTGTAGATAATTGTAGATAGCTACACTCCAAGTACGCACTAAGCTTATATCTTGCTTATGCGCGGTTTACTTCGCAATAGCTACTCTCTCAATTTCTTGGAGTAAAAGAAGTCTTTCACTCGAAAACTAGAATGACAGCCGAGTCACTCGAATTATTTTTCACTCCTATAGAATGAATTCTCCGCTCTGAATCGATTGAGTGAATATTTTCACTCGAAATTGAATGCATTGATGCATCTGATATATTCCACCGTCAGAGGAATTCACTCCAGTCGATTGAAACATTCGCTCATATGGAGTCAGAATCCATTCTAATCTTGAGTGAAACATTCATTCTTGCGACTACGAACGGCATTATTTTTATTATTGCCTTGATATTTACACAATCATGTAACTTGTAAATTATGACAAATATTGTCATAATTTAGCTAATCAATGTTTAATAATTATCAGGGGATAAATATACGTGAGCATGTAAAGGATATCATGTAGTATAGCATATAGGATATAACGTAGAATTAATTATTGCTAAGTACTATACATATTCGAAACGCGGCGCACATCTACAGTTTACTTTCCAAACATGCACTTTCGAAAACTAACATTATTACATATAAGTGAATGCGGCAACAAATACTCTTTAAATATTGTCTTAACAAAAACTTTGAAGTTTGCGTAAATAATAGATTGGGAATATTTTGCAGAAATAATTAAATTATTGCAAAATCTGAATATATAGTTATAAAGTGCATTAATTATCATAAAACTCTCATTTGAGACATTTCTTTATAAATCTCATGGTTTTATTCTCACACACAATATTTAAATACCACTTAAATACTACTCACTTAAAACCATATCCGCCGGATAACTTGGAGGGTTTGTAGCATCCCCTAAACGAATAAAATATATATGTCTCTTAATTTTTTGTATTTAATAATATATTTTCAGGAGAAAAGTCGCTAGTCTGCGTCGGACAGTTGTGACAGTTTCCTTGTCAGTATAATTTATTACATTTTAGAAAACGTATATTTAAATAAAAGTACTCTCTTTAAAAGAGACACTCCATTTCTCTCTTTTAAGTATTATTATATAACAACATTTTAAAAGTGTACTTTATTAATGTACGGGATGATATTATAAGCTTTATTTCAGTGAAAACTGGAATATCACAAGAGGTATCTTAATACTGGAGTACCGCTCGATGTCACTCGCGCAAAATAAAACACATTCACTTCATGTTAATTCCGGAAGTGCCTCCATCATTACCCTCTCGTCGCCGCTGCCTGCTCTAGTCGAGCGAATTTCCTCGCCAAGCGGATACTTAAAATCTAGTTGCGGCTGCTTAAGCTTATCGCAATATAAAACCAACTAAATCAAATATCGTATACAGAAAAAAAGAATATTCTTGTTTAGAGAATGTCTTTATTATTGATATTTTTGAAACAAGATTATATGGCGTTGGACAAAGATAAATTAATCTTAAACCATGACGAATATAATCAAATTAACATAATCATTTTCTTACATGTGAGAAAGAATATCAATATTGTTGATTATATATGAAAAAATGATTGTGTTAATTTGACTATATTCGTCTTGATATTGAAGACTAATAATATATAACCAAAAATATTAATATTATAATATTCTATGAGAAAATAATTTGAGAAAATAATGAGACTAATTTATCGTCGCTCAACGCCATATAATCTCATTTTAACATTAATATTACTTTTAAAATGCCAACATTAAAGATATTCTTCAAACAAAAATATTTTTTTCTGTGTGATAAAATTAAATACAAGGAATATAGATCAACAAAAATACATGACGTTAAGAATATAATATATTCGTATTAAGGATAATAGGTATACTAAAAATACAATAATAAGTCACAGTTGTATATATAAAAAAATCTTGCAATATTATATTTTTATTACGAAATATAAATAATTATATTACAAAATAATTATATTACAAAATATAATTAAGTTCTGTAGAGTTCAAGACTATATATAGAAAATACGAAACATATTTACTAATTAAAACGAGATGACGTTGTATAAAATGTAGCAGATTTGGTTTAAAACCAGAAATCTCGAGTTCGATTCCGGTTAGGATCCGGTTAGGTTAGGTTAATAAGCATGTTTTCAAATACAATATTTTAATGAAATAGATTAAGTGGGATATAATCGAGAAGGTTTCCGATAAAATCATAATCAACGCCTTAAGAAACAATACAATAAAAAAGAATGTTTATTTTACGTCTTAAAGAATGTTTTAGTGAATCAAAGTGAAACATTCACTCCAATAGAGTGAAACAATCGCTGTAAGATTTTGATTTAACTTCAAAATCGCAGATTTAAATATTTGGAAATATTTTTTCTACTGTGAAATTCGTTGGTTTGTTTGGAAAATAGCGATGGGTGGAACACCTTGTTCCATATTACAACCACTCTTTTTCAGGCGTCGTTATGCCAAGAAAGAAATTGGGACGAGAAAATAAAGGGGGACTCTCTTCTTAAGCAGTGTATGTGAAAGTGACTTGAGACTTCTGTTTATAGGCCTAAAGAACCTCTATACAACTTGAATTTCATACAATTTGAATCGTCAATTATGCTTTAATTAAATTCGCTTAATTGAATTCAGTTATTAACTGAATGATCTTTGATGTCCTTCGCTCATATCAATCGTCAATTGAACGGTCTTTAATTGAATTCGTTGAAACCACCCGTCAATCAAACGACTTTCGAATTTGTTGAAATCAATTATCAATTGAGCGGTCTTCAGTTGAATTGACTTATATTAATCGTCAATTAAGCACATAATTAATTAAAAAATAATTGATGACTTGCAATTCTGATTCATGTTGGGAGCACTGGTCAAATCAATCGTCACCACACAATCTTCGACGTAATTGCTGTTTCTTTAATCAACTCGAGTTATTTATATCAGTTGTCAATTAAACAGGCTTTAATTAAATTTGCTAAGTTTCATTAATCGGACGATCTTTGATTCCCTGGACTCATGTCCAATTAAACGGTCTTTAATTAAATTCGTTGAGATCAATTGTTAACTAAATCGCTTGTAAAATCAGCCTGTCTCCTTGAACGGGTATCCAATTCATATTATTTTCTATTTCAACTCATATTAATCGTCAATTAACTAAACACGACAATTAACTCGGAAAGCCTGAGAGATCCGCGCATTCCATTTCGTTCTCTTTAAATCTCTGTAATATCTTCAGAATCTTTCTTCTGTTAGCTGTTATTAAATCTCAATATTCCACAGAATCGTGAGAGATTATAAGGTATAAGAAGTTATAAAAATTCAACTAAAAAAAAAAAAGAAGGGAATCCACTTAGATTCCATCTTTCCAATGACGGAATAATTAAGAAAGCAATTAATTAGTCGCGATCCTATATAATAATAATAACAGTATTATAGCATACTAAATAATAATAATAGGTATCGAGTGTCGAGGTCGGCGGCGTGCCGCGATGAAGTCGCGCGACGAACACACGCACACGCGCGCACACACCGTAGAAAGTCGCGTGACCTTCCCGAACGAGTCACATAACTCTTTTCTATACGCAACAACGCCCATCGCTCATCGCGGAGACGTCGCTCAAAGTGAGTCCGCGCGGCCCCGAAATAAAGCCCGTGCCCGACGGATTTGATATTGCGAAACAACGCGCGTGCGCGCTCTTATTACGGGCTACATCGCTAAATACGCTCTGGACAGCATTCGATAATCGACAGGACGTATCTATATCACGCACACGCAATAGAATCGGTACAAGCCGCTGCTCCGGTGCGTGATGATGCTACGTTTATTGCGTTTATATTCACTTTACGGCGTGAAATAAACGAGACGTTGATTGCGGTGCATCGAGGCCGTGCGATTGATCCGCGAGATTACTCGGACGTGTACAATGTACCAGC